CATGCTTCTGCTCTCCTAATACCTACATTGAGATTTTTGACTTAAAAACGGAATTTTCGTGATCGAAAGCGAATTTTCGTTCTGATTAACGAAATCAAATACCTCCAACATGCTTCTGCTCTCCTAATACCTACATTGAGATTTTTGACTTAAAAAAATCAATTTTCGTGATCGACAGCAAATTTTGGTTCTGATTAACGAAATCAAATACCTCCTACATGCTTCTGCTCTCCTGATACCTGCATTGGGATTTTTGACTTAAAAACGGAATTTTCGTGATCGAAGGCGAATTTTCGTTCTGATTAACAAAATGAAATACCTCCTACATGCTTCTGCTCTCCTAATACCTACATTGAGATTTTTGACTTAAAAAAATCAATTTTCGTGATCGACAGCAAATTTTGGTTCTGATTAACGAAATCAAATACCTCTTACATGCTTCTGCTCTCCTAATACCTGCATTGGGATTTTTGACTTAAAAACGGAATTTTCGTGATCGAAGGCGAATTTTCGTTCTGATTAACAAAATGAAATACCTCTTACATGCTTCTGCTCTCCTAATACCTACATTGAGATTTTTGACTTAAAAACGGAATTTTCGTGATCGAAAGCGAATTTTCGTTCTGATTAACGAAATCAAATACCTCCAACATGCTTCTGCTCTCCTAATACCTACATTGAGATTTTTGACTTAAAAAAATCAATTTTCGTGATCGACAGCAAATTTTGGTTCTGATTAACGAAATCAAATACCTCCAACATGCTTCTGCTCTCCTAATACCTACATTGAGATTTTTGACTTAAAAACGGAATTTTCGTGATCGAAAGCGAATTTTCGTTCTGATTAACGAAATCAAATACCTCCAACATGCTTCTGCTCTCCTAATACCTACATTGAGATTTTTGACTTAAAAAAATCAATTTTCGTGATCGACAGCAAATTTTGGTTCTGATTAACGAAATCAAATACCTCCAACATGCTTCTGCTCTCCTAATACCTACATTGAGATTTTTGACTTAAAAAAATCAATTTTCGTGATCGACAGCAAATTTTGGTTCTGATTAACGAAATCAAATACCTCCTACATGCTTCTGCTCTCCTGATACCTGCATTGGGATTTTTGACATAAAAACGGAATTTTCGTGATCGAAGGCGAATTTTCGTTCTGATTAACGAAATCAAATACCTCCTACATGCTTCTGCTCTCCTAATACCTACATTGAGATTTTTGACTTAAAAACGGAATTTTCGTGATCGAAAGCGAATTTTCGTTCTGATTAACGAAATCAAATACCTCCAACATGCTTCTGCTCTCCTAATACCTACATTGAGATTTTTGACTTAAAAAAATCAATTTTCGTGATCGACAGCAAATTTTGGTTCTGATTAACGAAATCAAATACCTCCTACATGCTTCTGCTCTCCTGATACCTGCATTGGGATTTTTGACTTAAAAACGGAATTTTCGTGATCGAAGGCGAATTTTCGTTCTGATTAACAAAATGAAATACCTCTTACATGCTTCTGCTCTCCTAATACCTACATTGAGATTTTTGACTTAAAAAACTTAATTTTCGTGATCGACAGCAAATTTTGGTTCTGATTAACGAAATCAAATACCTCCTACATGCTTCTGCTCTCCTGATACCTGCATTGGGATTTTTGACTTAAAAACGGAATTTTCGTGATCGAAGGCGAATTTTCGTTCTGATTAACAAAATGAAATACCTCTTACATGCTTCTGCTCTCCTAATACCTACATTGAGATTTTTGACTTAAAAAAATCAATTTTCGTGATCGACAGCAAATTTTGGTTCTGATTAACGAAATCAAATACCTCCTACATGCTTCTGCTCTCCTGATACCTGCATTGGGATTTTTGACTTAAAAACGGAATTTTCGTGATCGAAGGCGAATTTTCGTTCTGATTAACAAAATGAAATACCTCTTACATGCTTCTGCTCTCCTAATACCTACATTGAGATTTTTGACTTAGAAAACTTAATTTTCGTGATCGACAGCAAATTTTGGTTCTGATTAACGAAATCAAATACCTCCTACATGCTTATTCTGCTCTCCTAATACCTACATTGAGATTTTTGACTTAAAAACGGAATTTTCGTGATCGAAAGCGAATTTTCGTTCTGATTAACGAAATCAAATACCTCCAACATGCTTCTGCTCTCCTAATACCTACATTGAGATTTTTGACTTAAAAAAATCAATTTTCGTGATCGACAGCAAATTTTGGTTCTGATTAACGAAATCAAATACCTCCTACATGCTTCTGCTCTCCTGATACCTGCATTGGGATTTTTGACTTAAAAACGGAATTTTCGTGATCGAAGGCGAATTTTCGTTCTGATTAACAAAATGAAATACCTCTTACATGCTTCTGCTCTCCTAATACCTACATTGAGATTTTTGACTTAAAAAACTTAATTTTCGTGATCGACAGCAAATTTTGGTTCTGATTAACGAAATCAAATACCTCCTACATGCTTCTGCTCTCCTGATACCTGCATTGGGATTTTTGACTTAAAAACGGAATTTTCGTGATCGAAGGCGAATTTTCGTTCTGATTAACAAAATGAAATACCTCTTACATGCTTCTGCTCTCCTAATACCTACATTGAGATTTTTGACTTAAAAAAATCAATTTTCGTGATCGACAGCAAATTTTGGTTCTGATTAACGAAATCAAATACCTCCTACATGCTTCTGCTCTCCTGATACCTGCATTGGGATTTTTGACTTAAAAACGGAATTTTCGTGATCGAAGGCGAATTTTCGTTCTGATTAACAAAATGAAATACCTCCTACATGCTTCTGCTCTCCTAATACCTACATTGAGATTTTTGACTTAAAAAAATCAATTTTCGTGATCGACAGCAAATTTTGGTTCTGATTAACGAAATCAAATACCTCCTACATGCTTCTGCTCTCCTGATACCTGCATTGGGATTTTTGACTTAAAAACGGAATTTTCGTGATCGAAGGCGAATTTTCGTTCTGATTAACAAAATGAAATACCTCCTACATGCTTCTGCTCTCCTAATACCTACATTGAGATTTTTGACTTAAAAAAATCAATTTTCGTGATCGACAGCAAATTTTGGTTCTGATTAACGAAATCAAATACCTCCTACATGCTTCTGCTCTCCTGATACCTGCATTGGGATTTTTGACTTAAAAACGGAATTTTCGTGATCGAAGGCGAATTTTCGTTCTGATTAACAAAATGAAATACCTCCTACATGCTTCTGCTCTCCTAATACCTACATTGAGATTTTTGACTTAAAAAAATCAATTTTCGTGATCGACAGCAAATTTTGGTTCTGATTAACGAAATCAAATACCTCCTACATGCTTCTGCTCTCCTGATACCTGCATTGGGATTTTTGACTTAAAAACGGAATTTTCGTGATCGAAGGCGAATTTTCGTTCTGATTAACAAAATGAAATACCTCCTACATGCTTCTGCTCTCCTAATACCTACATTGAGATTTTTGACTTAAAAAAATCAATTTTCGTGATCGACAGCAAATTTTGGTTCTGATTAACGAAATCAAATACCTCCTACATGCTTCTGCTCTCCTGATACCTGCATTGGGATTTTTGACTTAAAAACGGAATTTTCGTGATCGAAGGCGAATTTTCGTTCTGATTAACAAAATGAAATACCTCCTACATGCTTCTGCTCTCCTAATACCTACATTGAGATTTTTGACTTAAAAAAATCAATTTTCGTGATCGACAGCAAATTTTGGTTCTGATTAACGAAATCAAATACCTCCTACATGCTTCTGCTCTCCTGATACCTGCATTGGGATTTTTGACTTAAAAACGGAATTTTCGTGATCGAAGGCGAATTTTCGTTCTGATTAACAAAATGAAATACCTCCTACATGCTTCTGCTCTCCTAATACCTACATTGAGATTTTTGACTTAAAAAAATCAATTTTCGTGATCGACAGCAAATTTTGGTTCTGATTAACGAAATCAAATACCTCCTACATGCTTCTGCTCTCCTGATACCTGCATTGGGATTTTTGACTTAAAAACGGAATTTTCGTGATCGAAGGCGAATTTTCGTTCTGATTAACAAAATGAAATACCTCCTACATGCTTCTGCTCTCCTAATACCTACATTGAGATTTTTGACTTAAAAAAATCAATTTTCGTGATCGACAGCAAATTTTGGTTCTGATTAACGAAATCAAATACCTCCTACATGCTTCTGCTCTCCTGATACCTGCATTGGGATTTTTGACTTAAAAACGGAATTTTCGTGATCGAAGGCGAATTTTCGTTCTGATTAACAAAATGAAATACCTCCTACATGCTTCTGCTCTCCTAATACCTACATTGAGATTTTTGACTTAAAAAAATCAATTTTCGTGATCGACAGCAAATTTTGGTTCTGATTAACGAAATCAAATACCTCCTACATGCTTCTGCTCTCCTGATACCTGCATTGGGATTTTTGACTTAAAAACGGAATTTTCGTGATCGAAGGCGAATTTTCGTTCTGATTAACAAAATGAAATACCTCCTACACACTTCTGCTCTCCTGATACCTACATTGAGATTTTTGACTTAAAAAACGGAATTTTCGTGATTGAATGCGAATTTTGGTTCTGATTAACGAAATCAAATACCTCCTACACACTTCTGCTCTCCTGATACCTACATTTAGATTTTTGCCTTAGGAATAGGAATTTCCGTGATCGAAAGCAAATGCAATAAAATACCTCCTACACACTTCTGCTCTCCTGATACCAACATTTAGATTTCGCTTTCAAAATCGGAATTTTTTATGATGGAGGAAGGTTCTTACAAATAATTGAATCCTGACACAAATTTTGGAAACGGAATAAAAAAATAACCTTTTTACCCTCAACTACTTCTGATCTGATACTAATAAACATGAAACTGTTAGATAACAGAATTTGAGCTAAAGAAAAGGAAAACGGATTGTGGTGAAATAAAGATAATGAACATAAAAAGACGTTTATTTTATCAATCATAAAACAAAAGCTATTTACAAGAGAAAACTGCATGCTGTTTTGGTGTCTCACCACTATATAATTTAATCAATTTAAATTACAAATACAATCTAATAAAAAGGCACTTAATCAAAAAATGAAAAAGATGATTTTTAATCGGAACTGTACAATCACTTCACAGGTCAACAGAGTCAATTTTACAATCAGTCAATGAATATAATAGACGGAAAACAAACACATTCATGAATTTCCATCGCCGAATTTGAAAGATGTTGGCACCGCTTGTTGTGTGAATATATAACCTGTGAACAAAAGAAAAAGAAATTATAATATCGAACAGAAGATAACATTATACAGGGTGACATTTTCAAACTTCCCACCCTCAATATTCTCCTTTCAGTGAATAATAATAGTGGACTGATAATAAATCATTGGCATTCAATGGGGAAGTTTCCTTCAGATGAATATTTCATAATATAAGTTCGGAACTCTCCAGTTTCATGTCCACGCTGTACAAAATGGCGACCGATAAAGTCCAATGCAAACTGTGACGTACATTCTGAATCTAGTCTGCAAATAGCTGCTGGTGAAGAATGTAGCTAGCGAATAGCTAACGAAAAAAAAATAGAAGAAGTAAAATTGGTAATCAAAAACATACATAAGCACAAATGCACTCGGAGCAGGAATGCGAAGGTAGTTGGCTTCATTCTGACAGGTTATGGTTTTATTATTTGTGCATTGAAATATCTCGAATAGAGCCCGATCCTAAACGAAAATATCATTGAATCAATGAATCACTATCGGCTATATTCGATGATACTATCCTTCTTAATTTACCGCCATCGGTCAGAACAGAATGAAGCCGAAATGGGGAAGTTTCCTATATTGAGGTTTTCATCTCACTGTGAAGTTTGTTAAAAAATAATATAATATACGTATTTTTTCTATTTTTCGTAAGATCAAATTTCACTTCAGAAAAAAATAAATAAAAGAGGAACTTGGCTCCTCCACCATTCCTATGACTTACTTTCTGAGAATCCACATTCACACAGAGTTAAAATACGATTCCCTGTGCCAGTACAACGTTGTCTAGATTTCCGGAAATTGTTCTTTGAATGCATAATAACTAGGTATATCATAACAGCAATGGGATATAATAGGTTCTTCAATCCTACTTTGTCAAGTATTATGAATAATTCCCATAAATCTCTCATTGGCTGAATGAAGTTGATTACTAATAAAGATACATTATGATATTTTGCGATAGTATCTATAATTTTCCACTATCGTTATATTACAATATGTTATTCATAACTTGTCAGTCATTTTTTTGCTAATGAATTCGTTCCTTAATAAAACGGATCTATTTTCTAGGAAAGTTGCGGATTATATTGTCCAGAAGTATAAATGCCTAGGAATTAACACTACTCAAACTCTCGTTCGTTTCAAGATCTTCTATCATTAATTAACTTTTCCAAATTAAAACATTCAGTATATTGCAGTTCGATCAGGCCAGCGGAGTTCATAGACATCATTTCCTTTATAATTTGCAAAGAAATCGCTTACCGCGGCGATAATACCTAGGTAAGCGGTATCGAAAGCTAACGACCGTTCCCAGTGTGGAAAATAGCGAACCTAGCATCGATTCCGAATATAAATAGTACCCGAATCGATGAGGCGATTATTCATTATTCATAATTCATTATCGACACAAGTCATTCTAGTGAAAATCAAATAAAAATGTTCGCCGTCCTCCCAACTTCAAGCCTGCTGGTCAACCCGCTGCTAGACGTAATAATGTAAGTGCTGTTTTTTTCCCAGTGTTGTTTTGCGATGTTCTTTTTTTTCCTTTTGTTAACCTGCCATGTGGCAGCATTTATTCATGAATCTTTTCATTCAATTAATAAATGTTACTTTTATATGAAAACTGTCCGGTCTCTTTATTTGGGGGTGAATAGGGTTGGATGGTGAAATGATCAAAATCCTCTCATTAAGCCAAGCGAGTAGCCAAGTTACGATCCATAGGAGGTCAAACATATGAGTTGCGACACGTGGTGGAGGCGCCGTTTGCCGAAAAATCTACCAAAACCATCTGAGTTGCGACAATATCTTGCAACAGCGCTAAATACTTCGAGTCCGTCCACACCACCCAAAATACTGACAGGCACAACAAGAGAGTTCTGACCGATGACAGTAAATTAGGAAGGATAGTATCATTGAATGTAGCCGATAGTGATTCATTGATTCAATGATAATTCAATGCATAGATAAAAAACCATAACCTGTCAGAATGAAGCCAACTACCTTCTGCATTCCTGCTCCGAGTGCATTTGTAGTTATGTATGTTTTTGTTTACCAGTTTTACTTCTATTTTTTTCATTCGTTAGCTATTCGTTAGCTATTCGCTAGCTATATTCTTCACCATCAGCTATTTTCAGAATGTACGTCACACTTTGCCGCCCCGAAAATTAGAAATTGCTTCAATTTGAAAAAGAAAACAACTCGAACTTTATCGGTCGCCATTCTGTACAGCGAGAACATAAACCTGGAGACTTCCGAAACTATTTTGTGAAAATTGATCTGAAGGAAACTTCCCCATTAGAGTGGTGTGGACGGACTCGAAATATAAGGCGCTGCTGCAAGATATAATCTGCAACTTTCTTAGAAAATAGATCCGTTCTATTAAGGAACGAATTCATTACCAAAATATGACTGATGAGTTATGAATAATATATTGTAATATAACGATAGTGAAAATTTATAGTCGCTATCGCAAAATATCATAATTTATCTTTATTAGTAATCAACTTCATTCAGCGATTCTCTTTCCAACGGTACCCTAGTTTATCATTTTCTGTTTTCGGTCACAACGTGACTCTCTTCCTTTATCTCGTGGTATATGAGAGACTTGTGTTTTTTTCCTCCGCAAATGAATAACAAGCGGCAGATGTGAGAGTAGTAGTTTACCTAAAAAGTGCGGAAAAGTTGCTTTACGCACTTGTTAGGTACACTATTTTTTCAACTAGCGTGCGAAAAAAAAACAAGTGTTAACATGAAGAAACATTTATTATTAAATACTTTTATGAAGATGAATTTCGGCAGGTGCTTCATTTATGAACTGGAATACTTCTTCTTTCAAGAAAATTTTTGCGTTTTTTGGCCTAAATCCAATGTTTTTTTATACAGCGTGTCTCACTTCAAACGGCCCCCCTCTATATCTCAGTCATTAGTCATGCGAATACGACCAAATTTGGTGTGGTACAGAGATGCACATTATTTCAGACAGTGCCGTGCGTTTTTATTGAACTAAAAAGGGGTCGATTTTTCATAAAATCATATTAGGCATTTTTTACAGGAAATCTAATCTCATATTATTGTTCCTCATGCTTCCGAACCTCCATATGCAAAAAATCACCTAATTCCGAATTAACAGGATTGGCTTAATTATTTTCATTTTCAGCCTTGAAGAAGTAGTGACTTCAAATCAACTGCGAATTTTGAAACGTTCAATGGCACCGGTAGGTGGAAAATCATGATTTGGAAGGAAAAACGAGTTATACTTTTTTATGTTGAACTCACCGTTTCCGAGTAAATAACTATTGCGTTGGCAAAAATGCTGTTTAGATGTGCCTGTTTTTGTGAAACCCTTCATAGGCATCTAATGAAAATCCACATATTATTATGTGATTTTGAAACCATGAAGAACAATATTATGAGGTCAGGTTTCCTGTGAAAAAATGCCTAATATGGTTTAATAAAAAACTAACCCTATTCATTTCAATAAAAATGCACGGCACTGTCTAAAATGATGTTTGTCTTCGAAGAACTGGTCATATTGATGATTATTCATATCGACATAAATTTGGTGAAGACCGCACTATTGATAGTTGAGATATAGAGGGGGAGCCGTTTGAAAATGAGACACGCTGTATATGGCGTGACCTTGAAAAACTTGCTCAAATCGAGGTTTTTTTCAGTTTGATTACACTTTTTAACATTGAGTACCTGGACCAAAGAGTGTTTGGCTTGCATGTTTTGGAAATTTCAGCGAAATAAGCCAAAAAAAACGTCTTCTTTGAAACTTCTGATTCCCTTATTCTGGCACCAGTTCTCAAACAAATTATATTCCTTTTCATACCTGTGACGGGATTTTGATGATAGTAGATTCAAATTTGCAGCTATAGCGGCTTCCAAAACTGAGTGTGCGGAAAAGTGAACTTTTCCGCACGCTAGTAGAAAAACAATATACTATCTAGTTGACGTAAATACAGTGTGTCCCACTCACCATGGGTATCTTTTTAACGGTGAGAGATACGAGGTCGGTTAAATGGCACCAAATGTGGAGTTTGTCAAGGCTAACTATGATGTGAAAAAATATTTCGATAAAATCTATTCGTTTTTGTTTTATACGCAAAAAACAGATTTTGATCATTTTCATGTCTCCTCCGAAATTTCTTTATTTATAAAAATATTCAAATAGGAATTTCACATTCTCATGACAGTTTTTCGAAGTGATTTCGAAAAAAATATGAAATTTATACCAATTCTTCTAGAATTTGAAATATCAGCACCAACTTTAGTTTTTCAAATGTAGGTCATAGCTCACTATGACTTAGTTACAAATAACTTTTTTTTCTCCTTCATATGATATGTCGCAGTAATAGTTTTGTGTTGATAACAACGGAGTTATAGTCATTTATACAAAAACAAAAAATTATTTTGAAGCCGCCATCTTGAATTCATAAATTTTCACGAAAGAATCATGATCTCCGACCTCAAAAACCCCCACTTACCAATTTTGAATGGAATCGGACCAAATCTTGTCCGCCGTCTTGAAGCAGCCATTTTTTTTTATTTCAACAAAAATTCCGATTAACTGCGATTAACTTGAAATTTGGCAGGTGTCCATAATTTCGGTGACAATACATTATGGAGTTTTTGTTGAAATAAAAAAAAATGGCTGCTTCAAGATGGCGGACAAGATTTGGACCGATTCCATTCAAAATTGGAGAGTGGGGATTCATGAGGTCGGAGATCATGATTTTTTTGTTAAAATTCACAAATTCAAGATGGCGGCTTCCAAATAATTTTTTGTTTTTGTATAAATGACAATAACTCCGTTGTTATCAATACAAAACTATTACTGCAACATATCATCTGTAAGAGAAAAAAAAGTTATTTGTAACTAAGTCATAGTGAGCTATGACCTACATTTGAAAAACTAAAGTTGGTGCTGATATCTCAATTTCTAGAAGAGTTGGTATAAATTTCATATTTTTTTCGAAATCTGTTTGAAAAACTG